TCACTAAAAGTGCGTTAACCGACTAACAAAAAACGTCAGAAACACTAAATTTTACGGAAGAAATGTCAGAAGGAAGCTGCATGCAGGCTTTTTTTAAAATTGAAAATGGGCGTGGCGTCGCCCACTTATGGACCAAAAACCATATCTCAGGAAGTACTCAACCGATATCAATGAAATTCGGTACATAATATTTACTTAGCACCCTGATGATATGTACCAAATATGGGTGAAATCGATTCACAACCACGCCTGAAATCTCGATTACCACTTTATCATGCGAGAGTATAAAATGTTCGGTGACACCCGAACTTAGCCCTTCCTTACTTGTTTGCAATAAGTTTATACTCCGGAGCTGAGAAGGTAAATTTAGTTCGTTTTAAGGATCTTTTTCACAAAACAGACATGCTCTTTTATAGAGCAGTGATGTGACTTCATCGGTTTGAGCAATTATGCCGTTTTATATGCTTTGACGATTCCCGGACCCGCGCTGAGAGACTACGATACGACAAATTGGCGCCTATTCGTCATGCATGGACATTATTCTTGGCGAATTTGACGATACCATTTGTCTCAGGTAAAGAATTGACAGTTGATGAGCAATTACTTTCAACGAGAAAGAGATACAATTTCCGCCAATACCTTCCCTCTAAGTCTTAAAAAGTATGACATAAAAATATTTTGGCTTGTTGACGCAAAACCCAACTATCCACTTGCAGGCGAAGTATATTTGGGTGCACAGCCTAATGAACAGCGGTCGCTTGGTATTGCGCGCAATTTTGTTATGCGACTCAGCAACCAATATTTGGACAGCGGTGTGAACATCACGATGGACAACTTTTCGACAAGTTATGAATTGGCGGAAGATTTGCTTGTGCGGAATACCAGGTTGGTGGTATTTACATCCTCTGAAGAAGCAAATAAAAGGGATGTATTTGCATCTGTGTTTTGTTTTTCAAAATCAATGCAATTAGTAAGCTTTACAGTACATTCGAAAATGTACTAATGCTTTGAACTGCTCATACCAGCGAAGATGTAAATCCTGTAACAAAAAAGCCACAGGTCATACATGATTATAATGAGCATAAAGGTGGTGTTGATACTTTTTACAAAATGCTACGTGGATTCTTTGGCAAAAGAAAAACAAACCGTTGGCGCATGGCATTTTTTTATAATATGCTGGATATTATTGGGCTTGCAGCGTTCATACTGTTTGACCTTAGTCACCCTATATGGAACACCAATAAGTCTGAAAAGCGTAAAATATTTTTGAAAGAGCTCTTCATGGAGCTAGCGTAGAAGCAATTACAAAACCGATGCAAAAGAAAAATTAATTCTACAACTAAAATTGCAATAGACTTGATCAATTTCAAACGGTTTCCTGAATGGCGAGCTCGCGTTCAGCAATATGTAAGGTTTCATAATTCATTTTATTTCAAAATTAATTAATTTTCAAATTTATTCACTATTTTATATTCTTGAAACAGGTCAACACTTTGAAACGGCGGTGTGAAACCTGCAAAACTGATAAGATCGATAATAAAACAACAGCAGTTTGTGATCATTGCCTTATTCCGACATGAACCAAACACTATATAAGGGCGTGTGAAAAGTGCTATTTTGCAAAATACAATGCCGACGCTGACACGAACTCTGGCAGTGATGAAAATGTGGACAATACTCCAACAACATCTACACTAATCAAAATATGTGACCTGGTCTACGGAAAGGGGGCTTAGGTGTCCAAAAATCCAAAAAATCAATTTTCACTTTTTAGTTGATTCGGATGGAAGATAAGATTTTTAACAGCTGTTTCCCAGAAAACTTTTTTTCGCACGTTAGCTCCCTTTTCGTAGACCAGGTCACATATATCAAAAAGGCAGAGAAGAATTTCACCCAATTGAGCAGTTCGAAATTAAAACTTTATTTGATTTTCATATTTTTCAATAAAAACACATTTGTTTCTAGCAATAAACCCAAGTTTCAATAAATTATTTTCATAAACAAGCGAAATATTGGCTTTTCTAAAAAAAAGTCAAGTCAAAATACATTACTGGGCACTGAGTGCCCACATCACGAGATTAAGTTGTACAGCTATGTCACGGTTCTAAGGTTAAAAAATAATGCGTGCAAAAACAAAAAACAAAGAGAAATTGTAATTTACATGTAAACCTACATATCTATTCGTACTGTGAAAAATTATATATAGTATATGTCTGTATATATATATAACTGTAGTACATATGTAGAACTGTTAAAAGGAAGGATAAAAAATATTCCGAGAATAGTGAAAAAATAATAATAAATTTCAAATTTGTTTCCACGTTGAGGGATTGATTTTCTTGTGCCATCGCCATTTTCAAACTCGTATTTATAGCACATGTGGAATTTTGATTTTATGAAAAAAAGTAAAGCCGTAGTAACTAGGAGGTGCACAAAATACTATACTATATATAACATAAATTCGCAATATACATGCATACATACAAATGTATCAATACAATTTTGCACACTATGTGTAATTTGATCCAACTTAAGGGGTCAGTAGGGTAATCTGACCTGTTTTTTTTTTTAAATTTTTCATAGAAATTTCTATTCCATAGTAGAACTTTTTTGACATATCATGTTGTACCGTGGTATATCTGGAGTGTATAAACAATTTTTTTCAGAATTTTTTTATGACATCTGTCGGAGAAATGGCTGGGTGAATGATGTGCGTTTTTTCAATGACGGACACGATTTCTCATGTTTGAATCATCTGAAACACAAAAACCCAATTTATTCTTAAAAAGTACGTAAATGGTTATCTTCCCTACCTTTTTCAAATTTTTCCCATGTTTTTTTACATAAACTTTGTCATAACATTGTCAATAAATGATAAAAAATTATGAATCTAGTGAACATTGAAAAAAAATTAAGCCAATCGGTTGAGCAGTTCGGCCGGAATCAAGTCCGCCAGTTTAAAAAAGTGTGTTTTGAGAAAAACGAGACTTAGTGAGCCAGGTGTGCACTCCGAGCGGCGCGAACGTCTAGCGGTATTATTATTTTTGGGCCTTTTTTGAAACCTTCCAATGGTAAAGTGGGTTTCTACATTAATTCTAAGGGTATAAGGGAACAGAAAATTACAAAAAATATATTTTTAAAAAGATTACCCTACTGACTCCTTAAAAAATAGCATTGTTTATAAATGAATGTCTAAATTTAAAGTTTCCTTTCTTTTCCCCTCCTTATTACTAAATAATACTTTCACTGTTAAAATAGTTTATTACAATAATATTCAATGTATACTTTAGCCACAGCAACGCGCTGCCGGATGTACTATTTGCACAAACACCACCATATATAATATACTTAAATGCACACATTTCCAAACCCCTGAGTTATAAGAACGGGGCTCGTTTGTTTACTATAAACATATGTATGTATTTTGACTTTCAAATCACCTGATAAAATATATCGATATATATGCATGCATAAATACAAAAACGTGTATATTTAATATAACATACACATGTACATATGTATGTATGCATATACAATTACAGTAAAAACTCGATATAGCGTAGAAAATTCGGAAATGTGTTTAGTTTATATTGTTGTCCCCGTATTTAAAAACTAACGCTATATAGTATATAAAAACACTATTTCTAACGAAATAATCCGCTTAACTTTATATACATATGTATATGGCTACAGTAAATGGTTACGAATATTTAAAAGAAAACGAAAGAGAGACGTTGTACATTATTAAAGATATTTGTTGATAAAAGCATGACGTTTTGTGAAATAAATAATTGAAATGCTTATTCGATTATTAGTCGTTGTACTACGTCTTCTTGTAATACAATGAAAACTTTATAACGAAACAACTATCCAGTCGCATTAAATTCATTATAATGATTTTCCACTGTCTCTCTGCATTCATAACACAAATTAATATATTTACACTTATACATACATAAGTATATGTATGTTTGTACTATATATGTCAGACTTACGTCAACTCAAAGTACGAAGTTTAATTTTCTATGATCTATAAATATTTACAGCTCGCATACATATTAATAAAAAGTAGAATTCGTCAAAACGAATTGAAAAGTTAAACCATATTTAGCAGGAGAGAAAAAATACAAACAAATTATAAATATTATTAAAATATGTAAGTATTTATTGTATTATTACATTCACATGAGGTGTGTCCTAAAATTTTTTATTTTTTTCTTTGTAGAGTAGTAAAACTATGAGTCCTGCAATTTAAAATGAATTTTTATCATTGAAATATGAAATGCAGAAAAAAAATAAATTTGCCTTATAATAATCAAATTTTGACAGTTAATATCTTTTACACAGTTAAAGAAACGAGTGTATAATAGTTTTCTTTGATCTAACGGTTGCTTGTATCGCTAAAAATCGAGATACATATTTGCATATATATATGTACATAAATGATCAGGGCGATGACACTATTTGAAATCCGTGTGACTGTGTATCTGTAAGCGATACCTGGAGTAAAAATTGAGATATCTTTGTTTATTGTAGACATTGTAGACACAAAAGCAAGAACAAGTTACGTGAGCGTAATCGGACAAGTGCAATGCCCACAAAGTGAGGTTAAGCGAAAATACTTGTACACGAAGTGGCATAACCAAACATTAAATTACGATATTCTGTGGGCTAAAATTTTTTTAAAAGTGGGCGTAACCCTGCCCTGGTTAGGTTTACGAAAATATTGTGTGTTCGATAGACTGGAATCCCCAAGAAAACCGCACACGAGAGAAACCAGGCAATACGTGAAGCAGAGTTGCAAAAAGAAAGCCATTACTGGAGACAAATCATATTCCTGCCTTAGATAAACTGAATTATAATTTGTTTATTAAGGCCCTATGTTCCACCTGGGAACTCTGGGAAAATATACTACTATGATCAAATATAAAGGTGAATATTTAAATTATATTTCGCGTGCTTTTCGAATCGGTAAATTTGTTTTCTGTTCGCCACTAATATCGTGCGGGAACTACCGTATTTGCCTGATTTACCTTCGTGTAACTTCTGGCTATTCAGCAAATTCACATGACTACTCCGAGGACACCGTTTTGATTCAATTGAGGATATGAAAGCGGAATCTTTTCTTTTACCCGCCCAAATGTAAATATATATGTATCGAAAAGTTGTATTTCTACGAATACTTCGTTATACAAAATTAAACGAATTAAAATGGTCGTGAGGATTTATGTACATATACATATCACCACCAAAAGTCAGGTTGTCTATAAGCTAGTAATCGAACTGAATTGGTGGGAAAAATCCGTGGTTACATTGGCCTTCGGATGCATTGAGAATGTTTGCTGAGAAGGAAATTCAAAAAAAAAAAACCTATTTGAAGTGATTTAACTGAAAGCTTAGGTAAAATGAAGGCGTTAGTTTTATTCCATTAAATAAAGACCATAAAATGTATTCTTATAACTACATTTGTACATGTACATACATACATATGTATGTACATATACTTACATATACATACATATACATATGTAAGTACATTCAAATCTGAAAACCATCATGAACGTAGCAACGTGCGAGCTGCTAAAAAACATTCTCTAATTAAGGTAAAAAATATATGCAAGCACGGGTTAATCATTCCCAAAATTGTATTAAGTCTGGTGAATAAAAATTAGCTTTCAAAGTTAATATATTGTGCATTATTTTTCCAAAAAGTTCGATTATTTTATGCTAGACGGAGAACCTTCCCATTACAATTATGAGTTCATATTTTCAGAAGTTTTCTTGGAGATGTCTAAGAACCTATTTTCTGAGTACCTAGCAAAAAGAGTCGGAGTTTTTGATCCTCCCTAATGCAAATACACATGCTCAGTCTCTAAGATCGTTTTTAAAAACATAATACTAGACTCAGTACAAGGAAGTTTTAAAATTATATATTTTGGCTTAAGGTACCAACATTTAGTGAAATTTGTCTTTTCTTAGTACCTCAGTTCTTTGCATTGGCTATTTTCTCCATTTTTTTCTTGTTTAGTTTCACCTTAATTTTACATGTAAAAATAATAATAGTTAAAATTTTTCGTCTTTGAAGTAATTTAATGGATTTGTCCCTATGATACATACATACATAAGTACGTATGTATGTACATATGTCCACGAATCCAACAGAACGCGATTTACGAAATTTCTGTTGCTATCCACAACAATCGCGTTAAAGTTAAGCAAATGCAAACAAACACAACAAATATAACTCAACTGCTCACAGTACATTGATACTACCCCAAACACAGATCAAACTAATACACTACATACTGAAACAATTTTTTTAATATGTATGAATTTATAAATATGTATTATAAATACACATACTATATGTACATTTGTTCTTTTAGAGACGAAATTCTAACAAAGCCATCTCATTATTTAGAACAAAACCAGAAAAGTAACATTTTCAAAGACGAGCCTCCTAAATTTCAGCCAATAACATAGCATAGCACCGTTTAGTACTCGTCTTGTATACAT